TACTGATGACCTGCGACATGAGCACCAGAGCCAATCTCTCCCAGGAGCAGTGTCTACAGACCTCCCCTCACACCTCTCACAGGGAGCCAAGGGCTGGCTGCCGGTGCTCTCACCTGCTATGCCTCATCTGCAACGCGGGGGTGATGAGATGTAGCCTCCAGGACAGGAGAAGCCGGGACTGTCCTCCTGTCCTTCAGCGTGGCTGCCTGTTTTGCTCCCTCTCATGCCTGTGGCTGTCCGTTCCTCTGCCAGCTGCCTTGTCTCCCTCCAGCCTTTGCTCTGTCTTCTCTGTCCACTCCTGTCTCATGGTGTGTGTGTGTGTGTGTGTGTGTGTGTGTGTGTGTGTGTGTGTACACGCGCTGTACACCTCATTTTTGGGACTCTTGCTCTCTGAGTATCTGGCTCTGGTCCTCACTCTGCATCTCTGACAATTGGTCTCTCTCTCTCTGTGTGTCTCTCTGTCTTCCTGTGTCTCCCTCTGAGTCGGAGACTCTTGGTTGATCTCACTCTCAGTCCCTGACTATCTCTCTGTCCCTCTCCGTGTCTCTGTATGTAGTCTCTTTCTCATTCTCTTCCTGCCTATTTATCTCCTCTCTCTCTCTCTCTTTCTCTCTTTCTCTCTCTTTCTCTCTCCCTCCCTCCCCCCAATTCTGTATGTGCATGTTTTAGTGTTAGTGGGTATTTGTGTTCTTTAGCGTGTGCTTCTCCATGTCTTCCTACTCTTGCTGCCTGTATGTATCCCTGTGTGCGCTTCCATTTCATTCTTCCTCCCTGCCCCTCTGTGTATCTTATTCTGTGTGACTTGTGTTTACACGTGTGTGTGTGCCGTGATCATGGCTTTCGGTTCTCCCTCTCTCTCTTGCGCTCTCTCTCTCTCCCCCCCCCCTCTCTCGCTCTCTCTCTCTCTCGTGCATGTGTCTCTGTTCACACCAGAGCCTGTCCGGCAGGGCAGCGGATGTGTGAGGGATGATTCAGTGGCTGACAGGAAGCCGGCCGCCTTGCTTGCTGCCCACAAGAGTCTGTGGTGTTGGAGTCAGCTCCGGCAGGTGTGTGGCCTCAGGATGAGGTGGCCGCAGTGAAGAGCCCCCAACTCTCAGGTAAGCCTTTCCCGGGAGTGCCCAGAGCCTGGCCCTGAGGACAGGGGTCCTGAGGCTGCCCCCCGACCTCCCACACCCCATGGGTTGGCGTGGCCTCTCCTGAGCACTTGGCGGCCTTCGGGGTGAAGTAGGAAGATGTCGGGATGCCTGACACCCCCTCCTTTGACCCCACTCCTGCCCTGGTACCCCTGATTGGGAAGCCCTCACCCTGGACCCTGCAGCACTCAGAGAGGCAGCCTGGTTCTGGAGTTTCAGCCACTTCCCTGCCCTCACCTTTCCCGGCCCGGTCTGCAACCCTAGGGGGCCTCCGGGGTGCTCCCCTCACCTCCAGAGACTGTGAGGCCCAGGACTGTGGCCCCGGACCATGCCCAGGAGCTTAGGTTTCTTCATCTGTAAAACGGAACTGCAATAGTCAGACACGGGGCTACACCCGGGAGAACGGGTGAGACTCTAAGGCAAGTGTGCCCAGGTCCTGCCCAGGCCAGACGGGAACATCTGTCCCTGCCATCCCACCCCGTGCCCAGCCCGGCCGGCCAGCTCTCCGCTGGGGCCTCAGATGTCAGCCCTGGGGAGCTCCCTGTGCCCAGGTGGCCCTAGCCTTCGCCATCCTCCGCTCCCACCCTGGGACGGGGCTGCCAGGCCCTGTGCCAGTCACCTGGGCACTGAGAGCCTCCATTGCAAGCCCCTGGAACAGCCTCTGGTCCTGGCGTCCCACCTGAAGGCCAAGGTCACTTGGGAAAACGAAACAGACCCCAGAGCAGTGCCCAGTGGTTAAAGCCTTTTGGGGGCTAAGGCCAGGGCCTCTTTCTCCCTCCCCCTGCCTTCCAGCCCTCAGCTCTAGTGGGCCTCAGTCCCCCATCCCCAGCAGGACAGGTGCAGGGAGGATGGGCAGGATCATGTCCGAGGGCCACTCTGGGCGGGAGGCTCAGGCGCTGTGGCCTGTGCAGTGCAACACTGAGAGGTTTCCCACACAGCCTGCTGCGAACCTTGTTCATATGAAAACTGCCCACTTCCCTTTCTGCTATTTTGGCCTGCGGAGCCACGGGCTGTGACAGTCGCCCTCCCCACCCCACCCAGCCCTGCTGGCTCCTTGGGGCCTCTCCTGGGGCCCAGCCTCTCCCCCTCCACCCTGCTCACCCATCTGCTCTCAACATGGGTGGAAAGTGACGAGAGAGAGAGTTTTATTCGGTGGGGAGGAGGATCGAGGGCATAGGAGTTTTACTCAAATTAGTCTCTTTAAAAAAAAAAAAATATATATTTCATGATTCTTAAAAATATAAGAAAAAAGGTAAAGGAGTGTGGCCTTCCTAGGCAGCATGCCTGGGCTTTGATCCTGCTTCTGTGACCGGCCAGCGGTGTGAGCTCGGACAGAATGCTCCCCTCTGGTCCTGGCGTCCCACCTGAGGCTGTGGGTGTCTGTGACAGCTGGCTGAGGGGCTGGGGCAAGAGCCGTGCTCTCTTCCCACCCCGGCCCCTCTCAGGGCCCAGCACGAGGCCCACGTGTGGCAGGGAGGGAGGCTAGGCCTGTCTGACTGGGGAGCAGACAGAGAAGGCTCTGGAGAGATCTGCTCCACCCCATCCGCTGCAGGCCCGAAGGCAGCTCTGGCCCCAACAGGCTGCCCCTGCCCCGGGAGCCAGAGGGTGGCCGGTCATGAACGTCACGGCCAACTGTGCCCCCTCTGCCCCAGCACCTTCCACGCATCATCTCGATGCCGGGTCTCATGTGACAAACCCACAGGAAGAGTGTCCCTCTTTCCCCCACTTAACAAAGGGGCAGCCAAAGGCCTGTGACACGGGGACCCCATTTTTGTTCCTGGCAGAATTTGCGTTCTCCTGCTCCCTTCCCCAGCCTCCCCTAGTGTCAGGGGGGAGCAGATGGACCAGGGCCACCCTGAGTGTGCTTCACCTCAGGAAGCAAAAGGCTCTCTGACAGTCAGGGTCTCCGAGGTCAGCAGGTCATGGCCCAGGGCTCCGAGTGCCAGGTCAGGGGTGTGGACTCACTTCTGGCGTCTGAAACAGCCCCCGGGGGTGGCCAGGGTGGACTCATGTCCCAGCTCTCGCAGGGGGCATGTGTGCGACCCACCCCATGTGCTGTGCCCAAACCTCCTTTCGCGTCAGAGTGTCACCGTGCCAACCAAAGGACCGCGTTGTCGAGGATCCGGAGCCGGAGAGAGCCGTCCAAACTAGCCAGCCAGAAATCAGACCCTCAGTGGGTTCCTCTCCAGGAAGCCCCAGCCGTGAGCCTGGCTGGATGTGATTGACCCCCATTTCACAGATGAGAAAACTGAGGCCCAGGGATGCCGAGGCACAGACAGGATTTGACCCCAGGAGTCCTCCCCCCTCGAAGGCAGGTGTTCCCGAGGGGAACGTGAGAGGGAGGCAGGGCGAGCTGTGCAGACCCGGAGGGCAGCGCCCCGCCTGTGAGGAGGGGGAGCGGATCCCCTCAAACGGCATCGTGTGTGGCGGGCCGGTCTTTCTCCTCACGTGGAGGCTGCTCTGAGGCCAGATTCGGGAATTCCCGTGTTCCCACTGACTCCCCGGAAGCTCCCAGTCCTGGGGAGGAGAGGTGGCTCCTCTGGGACGGCCCCTGGTGAGGCTCCGCCCTGTGTGGAGATGTCTTGTTGACTTTGCCCCAGATTCGGGAAGCTCGGAGCTCAAAGGAGTGAGGGGACAGCAGCGGGGGGAGGAAAGGGGGCACACACAGGCCTTAGGGGAGTCCAGAGCAGGAGGGGGCAGCACAGAGTCCATCTCCTCCTCCAGCCTCACCCGCTCCTGCTGTAAAGAGGGGAAGCCCCCCTCCCAGGTGCCCGCTGCAGGAGGCACAGGTGTGCACAGAGTGGGCGCTCCGTGTTACCACCTGGGCACCGGCCCCTCAGACAGCCCCGCAGCCCTCAGCTGAGGCCCGGCTATTTCGAGGTGGCTGAGTCCCTTGATAGTTTCAATGATTCTCCTTGGAAACCCCCTCACGGGGGCTGGACTTGCCTTCACCAGTCCCTGCTGTGTAGATTGGATCACCAACACCAGACAATCAGGGTGGCCCTGAGGCAGCAGCCAGCAGGCAGGGATTCGGGGCCTCCTTGCCCTGTAGCCTCTCTCCTCCAGCCCCACAGCCCACCACTAGCCACCATGGGCCATACACCAGGCCCCTCGGAGCTTGCTTGTCCCCAAGCTCGTAAGCCCACCTCCTCCAGGGAGCCTTCCCTGATCTCCCTCCTCCCAGCTCCCAGGGCGGGAGGAATCTGGGTGCACGGATGTTTAATGAATGGGAATCCTGCTCCCAGCTTCCCTGGGTGGCCGGCCGAGGATGGGGTGGAGACGTGCCCATGGTTGGAGGAGGGCTGCTGGGACCTCCGATGCAGAAGGGTCCTCAGACTCCAAGCTCGGGGAGGAGAGCTGGGTTTATAGGAGGGAGGGGATGCGGTGGGCAAAGCCAGGGTTAGGCTCTGGATGTTGGAACCTGAATCCCGTATTTCCCCCCTTAGCAACGGGAGATGTCTGGCCTCCGTTTCTTTATCTGTGAAGTGAAGCAAGCCCTTCCCTCAAAGGGCAATTGTGTGGGTTAGGTGAGGGTGTATGCAGGAGTGTGTACACGCGTGTGGTGCTGCCTGGTGGGTCCCCAGAACCTTCCAGCCCTTCTCACGAGTTGATGCTGGCCATGGGGGGGGGGGGGGGCACGAGCACGGGCCTGGGGTCGGATGCAGGAGGAGGTGTGGTCCTGCCTGGCCCTCCCCCAGGGCGGGAAGGGCGCTCCGCAGCCTGGACTGGGCTGTGAGGCTGTCGGGGGCCGGCGGGAGTAAGAGGCCTGAGAGTGGGGGGCTGGGTGGGCTCCCGAAGGGGCAGCCCTCCAGCCCTCCCACGCGGGTTCATGCTGTGGCCTCGCAGGAAACGTGCACAGGAGCCGACATGAGTGCGGACACGGAGCTGCTGTGGCCCGGGGCGGCCCTCCTGCTGCTGCTGGGGGCGGTGGCCAGCCTGTGTGTGCGCTGCTCCCGCTCAGGTACAGGGGGACATGACAGGGAGGGGCCGGGAGGGGGGCCTGGGCACAACGGAGGAGAAGACAGCATCCCCCCAAACTGCCACAGGCCAGACCTGGCTGTGTTTGGGAGGGGCAGTCACAAGACGGGGGTGACTCCCCCAAGGGCTGGCCCCACGCTGCACCTGAGCACCGTCTGGTTCACTGGGGGCTCGGGGTTGCTCTGGGCAAGGGAGGAAGGCCGGCCTGGCTGCCTGGGGCATCCGCCTTCTCTGCTCCGCTCTCCTAAGTAAACAGTGAGGGACACCATGTCAATGCCATGGCCCCCAGCGGTCGGCGGGCCCGGTGTGCTGTCTGTCCTAGGACAGGGCACAGGCAGACCGGATGAGGGGGCCTTGGATGCCAGTTCCATCCTGGCTCTGGGCACTTGCTAATCTGGTCCCGTTTTTGCAGGTGCGAAGCGGCCCGAGAAGATTTATGAGCAGAGGAGCCTGTGAGTGTGCCGTGTCCTGGGCCCTGGGCCGTGTGCCTGGGCTGTGGGCATCCCCTCAGGCACCTGCCTCCTGTGCCTCACCCCTTTGCTCACACCTTCTCCAGGCTGGGCTCCGGTGGGTCGCAAGCAGTCAGGGAAGGAGAGGGGGCACCCAGGGCTGCCTGGGCCCTGCCCCAGCCCAGGGCACCTGCTGTGCGGGTGGGGGTGGGTGTCCACAGAGGAATCGGGTCTCTTGGTGCAACGAGGGGCTGGGGTGTGGGGCCAGCACTGGGCACAGAGCAAAGTGTGAGCTGTGTCTGAGTCTCCCTGGGAAAACGCTAAAGGAGCCAGGAAGGATGTGGGCATGTCCCTGGGGGATTAAGGAAGGCCTGATGGAGGAGGTGGGAAAGATTTTAAGAGAAAAAGACGCCAAGGGGATATTCAGAGGGAGAGAGAACCGAGTGGGCAGTCACTGGCATAGGACCGGCGGACACTGTCTTTCAGGGATGGGGTGGCAGTACCGTGCGTCTCGGGGAGATGAGCTGGGTGAGGGAGAGGCCTTGGCCTCCGTTCTAAGGACCGAGGGGCCCAGAGAAGAGCTGGGAGCAGGGGCTCATGGGCAGCAGGAGGGAGTGAGGCGGGGCAGAGATGCAATGGGGTCAGTGAACCCAGTGGGAGGGGTTGGGGGGGCTGGGTGATGGAGCTCCAGGCGCTTTGAGGGCAGGTGGGCAGCTCTGTGAGTGCTGGGAGGGTCAGCCGTGCCAGACACTGCACACCAGGGGCCACCTTAGGACAGCCCCAGGCAGGGGCAGCGGCCGTCGGCATCCTGACACTGAGTAGGAAGGTGACTTGATGGAAGGCCTGTGTGTGAACGCCCACGCACACCCACACGCTCCCTGCACACTTGCTCATGCGTGCACGTCTCACATATGCAGCGCTGTGTGCACATTCGGGTGGCTACTCACGCACAAATGGGCACACACGCCCTTTCTCATTTCCTTTTGCAACTGAAAAACCACAATGAGATTTGAAAAACAGAATTTCCCCATCCAGGCCCACCCCGGCGGGGGTAGAACTGAGACTCTCCGGGCATCCGTGGCCACTTGGCTGTCCCGATGGCTGGCCCACAACCTCCTCAGGAGTAGGCTGGGTGCCCCGGTGCCCCTACTCTCCTGCCCCAGGCAGGCCTCCTCAGAATCTCCCCTCTGCTCTCCCCCATAGCCCCTGCCCACTCAGGGCCCTTGGCTGATCTTCGAACTGTAGACTCCACCTCCTCATGCAGTGGGTGGGGAAATGGCGCCCTGGAGGGAGGACGAAGGAGGAGAGGCTTGGGTTCTCCCCACCTCACTGGGGCTCAGTCCTGCCAGCCTACGTGTGCTAGGCCCAGCTCCTGCATCACTTCCTCCGGGAAGCCATGCCTGGCTCTCTCCTGTGGGTTTAGACAGTGTCCATCCTAAATCACGTCACCCTGACCCCCCTGACCCCTTGCCCCCCCAGGAGCTCCTTGAAGGCTGGGCCAGGTGCCCATATTAATCCAGGGGAGACGCCCAAAAGGCCTTAATGATCAGCTAATCTGTTCACCATCCTCAGTGGTGGCTTCCGTTCTCAAGGGCACTTCATGGTCCGAAATGGCAGCGAGGGCTCCAGCCCCCATCTCTGCAGTCCAGGTTGTAGTAAGAATGAAGGAGAAGGACAAAAAGGCTGTCCCCCCAGCTGTCAGTGACTCAAGGTTTCCTGGAACTCCCAGCAGCCTTGGCTTGCATTTCATTAGCCAGAGCTTTGTCACGTGGCCACATGCAGGTGCGAGGGAGGCTGCGGTTCACAGGCGTTTAGATGGGCGTGCTGCCGGCTAACCAAAAGCCAGGGTTGTGCCGCAAAGGAGGAAGGGACACTGGACAATGACGAGATACCTGCCCACAGACCTTCCTGGCCATCTCTGGGGTTTCCCGGGCGCCCCATGTTGAGAAATGGGTCTTCCTGGCAGCTGACGCCAGACCAGGGCCATGTGCAAAGGGTGGGTACCCAGTGGGCAGGGCCGGGGAGCAGTCCAGACAATGAGGGCCTCAGGGGCAGGGCTGTGGCTCTGCGACCTGGAGGGGTGGCAGGCAGCTCCTTCTCACGCTTGCCCTACTATGTGCCTCCGCTCTGTTCCTTGTCCCCCTCTGTCCATCTCTCCTGTCGCTCTGTCCCTGGGGCTGGGGGAGGCCAGGCCCTCGCTCAAAACAGTCCCGTGTGTTTCCAGGCAAGAGAACCAGCAGAACTTTGCAGTGGCCCGGACCTACTCCTGTGAGTCCCAAGCAGAAGGGTTCAGGGGCTGGGCTCAGGGTGAGGGAGGGAGGGGGTTCATATCAAAGTCTTCACCCTGAAGCCGTGGTCATGCCTGACCTGGCAGGGTGAAGGGGGGAGGGAGCTACACTGGCACGCTGGCATTGGGGTTCAGCTAACACCCCCTGGTCCTTTGCAGTGGGCAGGCCCCTGATGGACACAGCCTATGGCATGGCACCAACAAGGTAGGAATGAGCCCCTTGTCCTGGGCCCAGAGGGGTCACAGCCCCCACAGGAAGTGATGAGGAGGGCTCTGGCGCCCCCACCTGGCTGAGCCCAGGCCAAGACCTTACTTCCTCTTCAGACCTCCGAGTCCCAGTGCCTGAGAGAGATGGGCCTCCCTCCCTCCAGGAGGCTGGAGGGCTGTGGCCTTCAAATCCCCCAAAACCCTGGAGCCATTCCTCTCCACCCTGCCCCCCCCCCATGACTCCTCCTCAGCCCCTACCTCCCCCTCCCCTGCAGGAAGGATAAGCTGCTGCAGTTCTCCCCCAGCCTCGAGGGTGAGTGAGCCTCACACACAGGAGTGGGGCAGAGGGGCGGTGGGACTGGGGCAGGTGAGTACCGGGTGGGGCAGGTTCTGTGCAGACGTGCAGGGAAGGTGTGGGGGAGGGGAGGCAGGGGAGCCAGGCCTGACAGGAAGGCCTTTGCAGGAGACACATACGCCAGGCTGGGAGGCCTGATGGGATTGGCCTAGTGGGGGAGGGGAGAGAGCAGGTGCAAAGGTGTGCCGGTAAGAAACCCTCGGCTTTCCTTCCAGATTCTGCATCGCTGAGGTACCAGAACTTCCGCAAAGGTGGGTGGGCCCCGGGGATTGGGGGCGGCAGTGAGGGCTGCCTCCAAGAGCCTGGGCCTCATTCCGCCTCCTCCTGCAGGAAGCAGACACGGATCAGACGGAGCCTACATGTGAGTGGCCTCCTCCCAGCCCTGCCCTGAGCGTCCTCATTCGGGAAGGCCTCCTGCCCTGGAACCTGCCAGCCCAGGCGCAGGCAGGTGCTCAGGAGCAGTTTCCCTTCAGGAGGCTCCGTGGGTATGGGGACAGGGGCAGGGACGTGGTCCTATGCTGAGAAGGGCCTGTGTGGAGGGGTCATCCTGCCTCACCCCGTCAGATACAAGACACTGGGGCACCTGGAGGCCCCGAGAGGAAGGGCCCTCAGATGTCTCATCTCACAGATGGGCAACCTGAGGCCCAGGGCCGGTGGAGGCTTGTCTGGGGTCACATGGCGAGGTGGCTAGTGCCAGGCTGTCTCCCCCTCAGCCCCAGGATGGCTCAGGGGTTCAGGGAAGCAGGATGGGGAGATGGGGGAGACCCTCGCCCAACCCCATGGGCCCCGGATGAGTGATGGCTGAAGCAGTCCTTGCCTCACTGCACCCCTCTCCCATGAGCTCTTCTTCTCTCCTCTTTCCCATTCCCCCCTGTCCTACCCCCCGCCCCCGTTCCCTGCCCAACGGGCCTGCCCAGCAACAGGTGTTGTGTTTGTATTTTCCTGCCAGAGACCCCATCATCATGGAGTATTGCAACTGGGAGCGGTCTCAGAAGCGGCAGGAAGGTGAGGCAGAGAGGAAGGCGGGGCAGAGGGAGAAGCATGGAGATCAGGTTCCCTGTGGGACCAGAGGCGATTGGGAGGACTCGGAGGAGGAGCCTGAGGCTTGGTTTGGATGGATTGGGGAGTGAGGGACAGGTGAGGGAGCTGGCACCTCAGGCAGGGGCCCAGGTGCAGAGGAGAGGAGTGTGGGAGTCAGGGATGGGCCACAGGGGTGAGCAAGCAAGAGAAGGATTGCTGGGTCCCTCGTCACCCAGGTCCCATGCAGGGCTGGGCATGTAGGGGACCCCAAAGGAAGGCCCAGGATGGGGCAGACTTGCTGATGGATGTTGGAACTCTAAGCCCTCAGCACCTTTGCTTTACAGAAAGAGAAACTGAGGACCAAGGGTAGACGGTGGTCCTGCCTGGGCCATGCTGGGGTGGGGAGTGAGCACCACTGGGCAGGGAGTGGGCCCCCTTCTTTCCCCCTGCAGCTTCCTGATTGGGGTGGGGCTCTCGTTTCTAGAGCCCCTGAGGTAAATGGATGATGGGTGAGTTGTTGGAGCTCAGCTTCCAGTTGGAGTTGGGGGTGGGGTGGGGGGCATGCCACACCCAGCCTATGCCCCTGGACAAAGACCCACTGAACTGAAGGGTCTGCTTCCAGGTAAGCTGCGACCTGGCTGCCGTCTCTCCTGGGCCCCCAGTGGCTCTCACTGCCTGGTGGAGATGGGCCTCCCTCCATTCAAATATCCATCCTGGGCCTGAATGCAGCCCCAGCCCCTGACCTCCCCTCCCCAGGGCATTCAGGGGTAACCTTGGAGGAGAGAGGAGGCGCTCAGAGTGGCAGCTGCTGAGCCAGGCCAGTGCCCATTAGGAAGCTTGTCCAGGAAAATGTCCCAGGCCCTGGGGGACCCAGAGGACTGGGGCCTTAGCAGGACATGTCATCTGCTACAGGAGGGCGGGACATAAGGAGAGAGGAAGAGCCAGGCTTGATGGACAGGGCCCACCATAATGAAGCTCTCTCCCTTCTCCTCTCTCCTCTCTCCCCTCTCCTTTTCCCCCTTCCCTCTCCCTTCTCCCCTCTTCCCTGTCCCCTCACCCCTCTCCTCTCTTCCCTGTCCCCTCTTCCCTCTCCCTTCTCCCTGTTCCCCAGCAGATGATGAGGATTCTAATTCCTATGAGAATGTGCTCATCTGCAAGCAGAAAGAGCCCGACTCAGGTGAGGCTACCACCTGGAGCTGGGCAGGGACCAGGTGGGTGAGATCTGAAGTCCCCACAGAGACGTGGCCCCTTCTTGGAGCCCAAAAGTTCACCAAAACCTCCAGTGCCTTTGGGTCAAGCACTGCCTCCTGTCCTGGGAGGAGGCCCCATCATCCGGGGCCTCAGTGGGAATGCTCTATGGGGAGCCTTCCAACCGGAGGGGCTGCCACCCCAGGGCGTGAGGTGCCTCTCGGGAGGGGCCAGTCACGGTGGCTTCCCCTTCCTCCCTGCAGGTCCTCCCCCTGGTTCTCCCCCTGCAGGCGATGAGGATTATCAGAACTCTGCTTCCATCCAGAAGTGGCAGGAGTCCAAAAGGGGCGTAGGTATGTGGCCAGAGAGCAGGGGCTCCCGAGTGGACAACTTCAGCGGGCTCGGCGGGTCTGGGGGAAGGGTAGTGTGAGTCAGGGTGTCTGGCCAGGGAGGCTGGGGGCGGGGGGGAGTAATGAGAGTCGGGGGGTGTCTGACCGGGGAGGGCCAGGCTGGGGTGGACCCCCCTGCAGCCGGCCAGCTAATTTCACAGTGAAGCTGAAGGCTGCAGTATCGGCGGCTGCCCTGGCCTTGAACCACGGCCTCCTGAGGTCAGAGTCCTGCGCAGGCTGCCAGCACCTAGGTGGATGGAGCCCCAATGACCTGCCTCCCGGGAGACAAGTAACCTGGCAAATCCCAGAACCGGGACAGACACTCCGTGAGGGCAGGGCAGCCTTTCCCCTCGGGCTGTGTGTGGCCTCTCCTCCAGCCCTGGGCGGGCGTTCTGGCTCCAGGAACAGGTCTGGGTGCGTCCATGTGATCCACTGACAGTTCGCCTGCTTTCCTCAGGGCCAGTCCCGAGAGAAGCACCTCTCTCCCCTGCGGGAAGTCCCGATGACGACGACGGAGAACCCGATTATGTGAATGGGGACGTGGCAGCCATGGAAGCCTAGGGCAGACCTGGGACAAGGTACAGTTGCCTTGGTGCAGGGTGGGGGCCTCACTGGCCCGGGGCCCCATCCCCTGGGAAGCGGTGGGAGCTCGGGCTGGAGGAGCCGTGGTGAGGGCCAAGCGGTAGCACCCATGGGTGCTGAAATGGGGTGGCTCTGCAGGGGGTTGGGCCTCCTAAGCAGTCCCCTTGGGCCCACCCTGCCCCCAACCCCCAAGGCAGGCTTGGTGAGGCGACAGATTCGTGGCAAGCACAAGGTGGTCAGGCAGGGAAGTGGTGAGGTGGTGGGTGAAGTGGCTCTGGGTGGGTCTCTGCAACCTTCCTGGATCTGTTTCCTCGCTTGCAAAATGGAGCCATTAGACAATACACTGCACATAACGCATGAGCCCAGCAGGGCTTGGCCAGGGTTGGACGCGGGGGCAAAGGGCAGGGCTGGGGGACGATGGTGCTGACAGTAGTCGTGGCTCAACTGTGTTAAGCAGCCACTTTGCCGGCCAGCATAGAGTCAAGTGCTCACACACACCATCGCTCACCACCTCACAGGCATCTATCTGGCACCAAGCCATCGGCCCAAGGTTACACTTAGAATAAGTGTGTGTGAGGGGTACGGGGAGAGGGGGGGCAGGATCCACCCCACAGTCCTCTCAGTCAGGGGTGGGCCTGGGCTGGTCCAGCCACAGAAGTTTGAGCCCAACATGCGAAGGCCCTGTTCACTCATTCACTTAATATATACCACACCTGCCAGAGTTAACATCACGCACAAAAGGCCTGGGGTTGTGGTGGGAGAAATACAGCTGATCCTGTGAGATAGAGAGAGTGAGAGGCAGAGGAAGACTACGTGGTGATATGTCCTGTGGAGGCAAACCTGGCAGGCAGGGGAGGAGACGGGCAGGAAGGCGGGCAGTTCAGGAGCGGGGCCAGAGAAGCCTTTGGAGCGCCCTCCGCCCTCCGTACCCCCCGGGGAAGGACACCCAGCAGGGGGACTAGCAGAGGCTCTGACAGCAGCGGGAGGCGGGGGGGGGGGGGGGCAAGGGGGGCGGCGGAGTGAGGATGTGGAGGAAGGAGGAGGCCAATCGGGTAGGGCCAGCTCCTGGGTTCTTTCTGAGCTTTGGGGATGGGAAGAGGGAACATGGGAAGATTTGAAACACAAGACTGACATGATATTTCTAAAGGACCACTGGCTACCGAGTAGAGAAATGAATATAGCCCTCTGAATCCACGGATTCAACCAACCTCAGATGGGAACTATTGGGGTGGGGGATTTGTGTGTGTGTGTGGGGGGGGGGAGTGAATTTCAGAAAATTCCAAAAAGCAAAACCTGAATTTGCCGCAAGAGCAGTACATGAAATCCATGCAAATGACATGTAGGCACAGTCTGCAAACACACCGCCTACATACGGGGGTTAGCATCCTCCCGGGTGGGTACCTGGTGGAGTTGGGGGTGCCATCCTGGAATCAAGCCCCTGAGCTATATGGGGGGACGGCGGTGGGAACAGGGAGGCGGGTGAGTTAAGAGTCCAGGGGAAAGGTGCCACCGTGGCCCAGGGAGGCAGCGGGAGAGGAGACAGTAGGACTTGCTGGTGCCCTCGGTGTGGGTGCTCTGTGTGTGGGTGCAAGGGAGAGGAATTGAACAGGATCGCAGGCTTTTGCCTGAGATCTGGGAGGCTAGGGGCAGCGCGGGTTTTGTGGGCAAGGCCAGCTGATTTCTGGGCCTGTTCATTGGAAGGCCCATCATGGGGAAATACGGAGCGGGCACCTGTGCCCGGAGTCGGGGAGTCGGCTGGAGATGGACCTGAAGACAGGTGGGAGGTACCCAGGCCTTGGCCAGGACCAAAGAGCACAGTCAGGATTTCAAAGAAAAGGGGAAGCCCTTGGAAGAGACTCAGTTTGCTGGATGGCTCTCTCCTCCGCCCCGGGAGGGCAGCTGACTGCTCACCATCACTGTGCGTCCCTCCCCTCTCAAAACAGTCACTCTGGAACCGAGGGAACCAAGTGCTAGCCAAAGCACACCTTTTCCTTTCAGCCAACCACTTTCATCTTCACCAGGAGCCCAGAGCTCACAGGAATAGTTACCGTCTCCTGCCATCACTTCTCCGGAGCAGCTGGACTTCTGGGCCCACCACGCTACTCACGGGAGGTGCCCCCACGTCCCACGGACCCTCCCTCTGGCCACGCGGGACCAGCAAGTCACACATGGAGCCAGCTTCCCGGGGGGCTGGGCAGGAGCTTGGTGCCGAGAGCACTACAGCCCCTGCCGTAACTGAATGCCCAGCACTTCGGGCAAGTGGCACCCCACATCCCCGCATCTAAAACACCACGTAATACTGGCATTCGTGTCCTTTTTTGCTTTGGATTTGGATCCAAAATTGCTTACTAATGTCAGTGGCTGGGAATTTGTGTGCGTGATCGGTAAGCTTGTGTAATTAATTTATATATATAGGTGGAGCCGTATTTAATATTCTACGTTCCAGGGCAGATTTTTCTAGCTTGTCTCCTCTAAGCATTACATGTTGTAACGTCAGCAGACACTTCGGGTCTCAGTTCACTGAGGAAGAGAAGCCACAACCACCCGCCGGCCATCAGTGGGCGTGTGCTGTGGACAAAGTGTGTCAGTTCTGCCGAGGGGGCGGGCAGGGGGGGCAGTGGTGTCCCTCGGGTGCCCTGAATGCCTCCTCTGCTCCAGGGCTGGCTCAGCTCCCTGAATGGGCAGCATGACTGTCTCAGGGAAGGGCAGAGGCCCAGCCGGACCTTGAGTCAGAAAAGCCACTCAGGGAAACATGCCTCCTCCTTTCAAAACCTCAATAAACCTTTGTAGTTTAAGGGGCAGCAATCCTCGTGTCTGCTTTCTCTGCTTCGTGTAACAAGGGCAGGACTGACTGAGCCTCTTGTTTCACAGAAAGGGACCCTGAGGCCCGGGAACAGGACCTTGGGCCCCAAGGGCAGCTCTTTCCAGGATGGCACACGATTCTTTCCCTGAGAATTAAAGCCAGTTAGGAAATTAGAGAAAAACATCTAGAACACAGCTGTGGCCATTTGCCACTTCACACCCTGCAGCCCTGACCTCACAAGCTCTGAGGCCATTTAGGCCTGAGCAGGGGGCGTGGCGGGACAAGGGAAGGCTCCAGGTGGGAGGGGCCTCTCCCGGGTTCCAGGGTGGAAACCCTGATGTCTCTCCCGCCCTTCACCTGCAAGCTGGGCACCATCATCCCTTCCCCTGACAGATCCCATAGCTCCAGACAAAAAACGAGATTGAGGAAGTATGTGTATTTTGTGCTGTCACCGTGCTGTTTTTGTGGTCTGGGTGTATCTGCACCAGCCTGGGAGGGTCAGCACCGAGTAGAGAAGAGCCAGCAGGCCCTCCCCCCGCTGCTTCCTCGATCAGGCTGGAAGGGGCACTAGAGCTGCTTGAACCGAGCATGGGCAGGAGAAAGCTGATGGGCTCATCCAGCTGTTCCAGCACTACATGCACACAGCACACATGGCCAGTGCTGTGGCCTTCGTCAGGGAACACACAGGCAGGAAGAACCAGCATGTCACACAAGCCTTTTAATCGAAGCCTCTCCCGAGACCACTAATCATAGGATGTGATTCCCAACCCCACTCCCTGAAAAACACCGTTCTAGCCCTGCCCATGGGAGTGCTGTCCTGTGCACTGAAGGGTTACTGGTTTGATTTCGTCAGGGCACATACCCAGGTTGTGGACTCGATCCCTGGTTATGGGAGGAAACTGATAGATGTTTCTCTCTCTCTCCCTCCCTTTCTCTCCAAAATCAATTACACAAACACACAAACAATGCTATTCTAAAGTTGCATCTGGGATTTGTTTCAGAACAATCTGAGTGGGGTGGTAGGAATAAAGAGGAAACAAGATAAGGCCATGTGCTGGTATAATTGTTAAAATGGGTGATGAATATGTGAATATCATTCAATGTTTTATGTACAACTGAGATTTTTCATAATTTAAAAAAATAGCATCTTACAAAAAAAAAAAAAAAAAAAAGCAATTCTACAGTTGAACACAAAGTTTATTGGGAAATTCCAATCAATAAGCACTTCACCAACAATGCGACACAGTGGTTTTGCACGTGCCTGGACTGCACCATTTTCCTCAGTGACACCTTCAGTCCTTTCTAAAGAGCTCATGGCCCCGAGCTGTTCTATTTTTCTAAATAGTCAGTAAATTACAGCAAACCCTGTCCTCACCCCAGGGTACTGTCCTCCAGGCTTCTAGAAAAATTGATGTTAGCTTATCCAGTCTGTCACCTAAATCACCCTTTCTCCTTGCAGGATGCAAGCAGCATGCAGAGACAGGAAGTTGGCTCGATTTGCAGTCTTGCACTGCCACATTATTGCTGAAAACTTGTAGTTTTATTAGCTAAAATGCCAACACACACCCAGACTGGGTGTTGTGCCCTGGACATCCTCTGCAGCCTTTCCCCATCACCACATCCCAGAGCCTGGGGCTGAATGCAAACGCTTCTGGAGACACGTGTAGAAGCACAGGGAGGGCCACACACAGTTACTAAAAGGCGAGTCCCAATTACTAAAGGCGAGTCCCAATTTGGGCGTTTTCTCCCGAAGCAGAGGCTGTGAGTCCTGTCTCTCGGGGACTCTGTAAGCCCAGCAATGAGTTCTCCACTCTAACTGGCCACCGGGGCCATTGTCTTCTGACACAGCCTGGCCAGGAGCCCTGCCATCTGCAGAAGAGAGTTCACACCTTCGGCTATCTTCATATGAGTGTATCCAATTTCCTAAAAACAAGTGAAATTTAAATCTGGTTAGTAAGTGAGGAATAGATTTATTTTTTTTAAAAAAATAATACTATGTACTAATGGTTTACTCAAAATTGATGCAATGAATTCTAACTCCAACTAGAAAATGAACTTTTTTTTTTTTTTTTTAATATATTTTATTGATTTTGTACAGAGAGGAAGGAAAAGAGATAGAGAGTTAGAAACATCGATGGGAGAGAGTCATCGATCAGCTGCCTCTTACACACCCCCTACTGGAGATATGCCCGCAACCAAGGTACATGCCATTGACCGGAATTGAACCAGGGACCCTTCAGTCCCCAAGCCGACGCTCTATCCATTTCTAGCCAAACCGGTTTCGGCTAGAAAATGAACTCTAATGAATTCATGGATTATGTTTAAAGTTGAATTTAAACCTAAAAGGATATTTCTTTGTAAGATCCTGTTAAGGAAATTTAAAAAAGGCAATATTAAAATATTTATATTACACATATCTGATTATACATTAAGAACACTCAGAACTAAGTAATGAGCCCTAGCCGGTTTGGCCTCAGTGGATAGAGCATCAGCCCACAGAGTGAAGAGTCCTGGGTTCGATTCTGGTCAAGGCATGTACCTTGGTCGCAGAGGGCAACCAATTGCTGTGTCTCTCTCACATCAATGTTTCACTCTGTCTCTCTCTATCCCTTCCACTCTAAAAATCAATGGAAAAATATCCTTGGATAAGGATAAAAAACAACAACAAAACTCAGTAATGAGAAAACAACCCAATTAAAAACTGGGGAGATTTGAACAGATACTTCATCCAAGATTGGGGATGGCCCATAAGCACATAAAAAAGTGCTCGACATCACTAGCTACTGGGAAATGCAAATGAAAGCCTCTACAAACCTATGGCAACGACCAAAAATCCGACTGAGCACTCCAAGGGCTGCTGGACTGTGGATCAGCTGAAGTGCTCATCACTGTGGACAGGATGCAAAATGCTATCGCCACCCTATCAAGTTACACTTAGACTTACCATTCGACCAAGCAACCTCATCTCCATACACTGGAGGTGACTACTCCTCAGTAATAAAAAGGAATAACCCACTGACCCTCACAGCAAACATATGAACAAATACAAAGTCCATTCAGCTAAGTGAAAAAACCAGGCTCAAAAACTGTGTTTCTGCTTGATTCCATTTGTATAATATTCTGGAAAATTCTGTCCCCCAAAGAGAAAGCTGATCAGTGGTTTCCATGTGACAGAGGAAAAGGGCATGTAAAGTTGGGGGGTTAGAGAGTTGTGTTTACACGACTGAATGCTCTGTCAACGGGATGCACCTAAAGAAGCTGAATTTTCCTCTAAGTAAACTGTACCTCAATCAATCTGACCTTAAAGATTATAAATACGCAAAGCTCTAATGAAGAGTCATCCTGAGGAACAGTAGGTCACTGATGGGTAGAACGGGCTTAAACAAACTCCCAGCCGCAGGACAGGCAGCCGCCCGCCTCCATTGGAGCTGGGGACACTGCTGAGCATCTTCCTGCCGCTAGGCCTGCAAGTGAAACAGAGGGAGCCACAGCGTGGCGGAACCTCTAAGGAGAGGGGCCCGGCTGCACCCCCACTGACCTTAATGAACTCCAGCTTCAAGTACTCTGCCATTTGGAAGGTTTTGCACACTCGGAAGATGTTGCCAATGATGTCTTCTGGTGAGTAGCCAAGATGCCACAGGTGAGCGAGAATCTACACGAGAGAGAACAGGCTGAGGCTGCTGAGCCCGAACAGGACAGGGACATCTGGGAAATGAATCTAAAGCCACACAAATCTCGGGCGGGTCACACTGCTCATCCTAGAAAACCCACGCGATTCTGAGCATCAGCTGCGCACCATGGAGCTGGTGGGCCACCGCCCTGGAGATCACATGGAGATAATTGGGCTGATTTTTCCAGCATTCAGACAGATAACACTGAAAATGTTTTTAAATGTACTGCAAAGTCTACTACTGTCCCCGAGCCTCTTAAGCACTTCATTAATCACCCCAGCGTACCCGAGAGCAGAAGCAGGAGAACCCTGTCAGGGTGGGGAATGTCCGGCCTGCAGGCTGTGTAAGGCCCATGAAATCATTTGGTCTGGCCCTGCCACGGCAATAGGGGTGAGTTAATTAAATGTTTGACCAAATACAGCAGGCTGCCGGAACCGGTTTGGCTCAGCGGTAGAGCGTCAGTCTGCGGACTGAAAGGTCCCAGGTTCGATTCCGGTCAAGGGCATGTACCTGAGTTGCGGGCACATCCCCAGTAGGGGCTGTGCAGGAGGCAGCTGGTCGATGTTTCTCTCTCATCGACGTTTCTATCTCTCTCTATCTCTCCCTTCCTCTCTGTAAAAAAAATCAATAAAATATATATTAAAAAAAACAACAAAAAAAACAAACAAATACAGCAGGCTAATTTTTAAGTTGATAATTTTGTATGGCCCATGAGTGATGTTATAAATATCCAAATGGCCCTTGGCAGGAAAAGGTTCCCCACCCCTGTAGTATCTGCTGAGCTTTCTCTAGTTAAGAGTCCTAACCCTCCCCCTGCAGGAGCAGCCCGAACATCCTGGCCAGGGCAGGGATTACAGCAGTGGTCTCGACCTCCCACCTTCTCAACACCCCACTCCATGCCACCTGGACTGCAGGGTCTGCAATCACTTGTTTTTGCCTTTGTGTCAGCATCCTGGGATAAACTAATGGGGCAGGGAAGCTCTGTACCTAAATCTGAAGGCTTCCTTCACGCCCACTCCAGGTACCTGGGTCTCTACCTCAGCCTCCCTGCCTTGCACTTGTTTCACCTTAGGTCTAACTCAGCCCTAAACTCAATCAACTTCTAGCCCAATTTAGTGGGAGCAGGGAAACTGGCTGTGATCAGTCCAATGGCCTCAGATCACACTGTTGCCATCCAAGTGACTTGTGGTCACCTGAACCACATGGTGCCCACTGGAACCTGCTCACATGACCCTACACTTAGGCCTGAACCCCCCTGGGTTCTCCTCTCCTGGCTGACTGGGGACTGCTGGGTCCCAGGATGCTCACTGCCATGTTCCACGGGAGGGTGGAGGGAAACCTCCCCTTAACAGCGAAAGACAGGTCACTACAAAGCGAGGCGTTGGGCTGGTCTTCCCTCGTGTGTAGGTGAACGAACTCCTGATGCAGAGAATATAATTACAATACAAAGACACGCTTTTGAATTCCAGGTCTACCACTTTTAAACAATTGGCATAGAGAACAGAATTTAGCCTCTGTCATGGTTTTCTCATCTGTAGGGTGCACCAACTCCTAGCATCATTTTAAGAATTCAGGGGAGCGATGCGTGTAAGCCCCGAGCACAGGGAATCCCCTCAGCCCTGCTCAGGAAGAGAAAGGTCCCCCTGGTTTCAGGAGAGGCGGAAGGAAGCAGACCTTGTAGGCTTCGTCGATGTTGGCGTTCACACAGTGCTGGATCATCTCCTTCACCAGCAGGGGGTGCGGCTCATCGCAGACCTGGCCAAACCGAAAAGAAGCTGAGTCAGCGCCGAGGGGACCACGGAGGAGGACCCTGACACTCCGACTTCTGGGCGATCTACGTGACCAACCTCCCAAATTGTGGTTTGTTTTTTTCCCATTGAATTTTCCAGCAACACAACCAGGCTGAGGAAAGCCCTTCACCACCACCAAGTCACCAAGTAAAAAGAATATAATGTCGACCTACTGAGGTGAGGAAGGCTTCTGACACCAATTCTGTTACCGATTTCTCCAACAGAAGATGAATTATCGAGGGCCACTGAAGACTCTCCGCTCAGGGGCAGCATTAAGCCATTGTAAGTCACATCTCAGAGCCCCTGGGTGATCACTGGCCCAGAACAACTTAGAACCCACTAAGACTTGGGAGGTCTTTTGGGCGGGTCTCCCACTGAAATCGCAATTGTCTTTCCTGGAACAGGGTCCGAGCCTCTCGTGACCTGAACAGCAGCCTGTTGAGTGCAGGTGCAGCTCTCCCTGAGCCCAAAGGCTGCCTCCTGCCACTCCCTCCCCAGGCCTTAGATCCCACCCGCTAGCACAGGCCAACATGTAAATCTAAACGGCAGCCTCTGGTATCTCCAGGGAGTGCCGACACCTGCCCTTGGCCTTCTCTTCCCAGTTCAGCGAACTTCCCTCAGAATCCTGGTTTGCAGAGCCCTCGATGCTTTGCTCCAGGAGAAAACGGGCCCTTACCTGTCAGGACAGGTGACTAAGCAAGTTTCCCTCAGTGCCCTTGAAAATACATCACTGCCAAGGTCTAGGCAGAGGCTTTTAGCACAGCTTTCTTTACCCACAAACTTGATAAGAAAAAGCAACAGATGAAATGCATGGACAGCTCTACCCAATTTTTACCCCCAAATTAGGGAGATATCAGACACTGAGCTGTTGGATGAGGCAGTTTCTAGAAGTATTCCCAAAAGGAAAATCCTGTCACGTGGGAGGGTGAGAATCTTTTGGCTCATCCTTAAAGAGCACTGATACCCACACCAGGCACAGGGAGTACAGAGGAGAAGTCTCAGGTGGCAGCCAGGCCCGCAGAGGGGACAGTGCTGTGCTCCCTCCTGGCCCCCAGAAGCTGGATGGTCTCGGGCAGGCTGTCTGGGCCTGTTTCCTCGGCCACAAAATGCTGACGAGAACGCGTGTGTGCGGGGGTACTGTGTGGGCCAGAGCACTCGGGAAAGCACCCAGCACCAGCCTGAGGCAGCAGCGGCAGCACTTGCATTGATCGCACCCTGGTGACATCCCAAAGTTCCTCCCGACCCTCCAGTGAGGGAGTCAGGGGGACACAAGGGAGGCAGACAAGCACCCCCCTCCGAGGGTGAGCCCCAGTGGCAGCACCTTCCCACCTTCACTCATGGCCCCGCAGAGAAATACAGTTTTTGTAGACGTGATGCCCAAGCCAGCTTGTGTACCTTGAACACGTTCTCACTGTTAATGAAGCCGAATCCTGAGAAAGTGGACTGCAGGTTGTTCAACGCCTGTTGAGGAACAAAAATGACCGGGTGATTTTCTGTCTCGGCCCTGCCCCACCTCTTTAACGGAGCACCCTCCTTGCAAGCCTGCTGTCAATCAGCCCGAGGTCCCATCAGTGTGTTGGGTCAACGCTCCCCACTCTGGCTCTGCTGGACTCTGCATAGCCGTCACTTCCTTCTTCCCCCTAAAATAAGGGCATGGCAAGCCCAGGAGGTCCCGCCTCCGGCAGTAACTAAACACACCTGCCGCATGTCTCCCTGGGCGGTGAAGATAATGGCTTCCAGACCATCGTCCGTGTACGGCACGTTCTCCTTCTCGATCACGTTCATTAACCTGGTGAGGACCTGGGCGTCGGTCAGCTTCGTGTAGCGCAGGACTGCGCACCTGGACTGGATGGGCTCTGCACGAGACAGGAAGAGAGTGAGGCCCCCAAGGATGGCGTCGCCCTGCCGCTTCTTTAGTTACTCGGAAGCAGCTGCACAACCTGCACAGCCCAGCCATGCCGGCACCACTCTGCCCAGCAGGTGCTCACCATGACTGAGTATTTAAGACTAAATTTCAAAATATTAACCAATAAGCAACAAGAGAGGCCTCAGCCAGTCCTGCCTGAGATGACCGGGGCTGGCCATGGCTTCCAGAAGAGAAAGATCCTTTAAGATAGGGACATCCATATGCCACAGCCGGCAGTGAGCCAGTGCTGGCCCATGTGGCCCCAAATCACTGTATGTGCTGGGTGGGTCATGGCTGGCTGTTTGGGGGGCCCTCCCTATCCAAGCATGAGCTCCTAGAGGGCAGGGACACAGTCTCACACAGATCTGTAGCCTCCACTGTGCCTCGTGCAGAGTAGATGCTGTGTACACATCTGTCAAGTGGACGAGACTTCAATTTTCAACCTGTTTCATTTCATGGCACACATAAACTAATACTAAAGTTCTACGGCACTCCAAAAATATACTATTTTGCTGATATGACAAAAAAAAAAAAAAGAAAAAAAAAAAAGGTATAATTTTGATTCATTCACACCGGATGGCTATTGCTGTGTTAGCTGTTGTCACTTTTTAAAAAATGTTTTTATTGAGTTTTCAGAGAGAGAGAGGAAGGGAGAGGTAGAGAGACAGAAATATCAACGAGAGAGGAATACTGATCGGCTGCCTTCTGCACACCCTCTAATGGGGAACTGAGCCCGCAATCCGAACATACACCCCGAACAGAAATCTAACCTGCAACGTCTTGATGCATGAGTCGACACCCAACCACCGTGCCACACCAGATGGGCTGTAATTTTTTTATTTGACAATCGAGGGAAAGAGGTCAGTGTCCCTGACTAACTAGACACGGCATGTTTTAAAAAGTCTTACACACCAGGTGAAAATTGCTGACTTATCTGAAAGCAGGAAGCCTCACAACTGAGTCTTATTAGCATATTTGATTTATCAGCACAGACAAGAGAAAGAGCATTAGGAACAGGAATACATATTTTAAGGCCATTAATATTCTAACTACAATGGAAGTTTCCTTTAGTCAATTTTTATCTCTTGAGACATTCCAAAAGCAGAATTCACAGAATTTAAATATATGTCAGAATAAGGCAGCGTGGCCTTCCTCAAAGTGCACCCATCTTTCAACGCATGGCTCCAGGAACCAAAGAGAGACTGGGCTACTAAGTTTCACAAGTTAGCTCTGCAGCAATTTGATCATAAACCATTTCCTCCAACGCTGAGAAATAAATTCCTTTAGAGATTTCATTTGTTTGCTATATCCCTTTAAAAATTAAAGTTAATCCAAATGCTATATGTATCACAAAAATTACTTTCATAAAAAGCGAAGGCCAGAGCTGACTCCACCAACACGTGCAGGTTCAGATCACACAACCCTGAGCAAAACGCACTGGGGGAGGCCTCTAAGTGTGAACCTGCCCTCTTGGTTCCCATGGCTACGGAGACAAGCCCCATACACCCATCAGTCAAAAACTTTTCGCAGTTTCCTCCACCACACCACTGAGGTCTTGAAGGTAGAGAATGTTTCTCATTAAACGTTGTATGACCTATATTGATGGTACCCACCATCTACTGAGACCACCAGAGTAAATGCTTATTGAGTGAATAGCTGACTAAATTAATAAACAAATAATGACTATCTAGGTAGGGTAAAAGGCATAGCCCACCAACTTTGTGGGGGCATCATGATTGATAACCAGCTTGTTTACAACAGTGCACATTGGCCCCTGGGAGATGGGGACTGTTGGGGGGGCGGGCGGGCAGAGAGAGAAGGGAGGGTCAGATGGCTGAGCTCACACAGGGTGGGGTTTAGTGGGCGGATGTGAGGCAAGCACAGCGGGACAAAAGAGCTGTGAGAAATGGTGAGACAGAGAAAGCTGGACTATGCCGAAGTCTGCATCAGAAAGGGAAGGATGTGAGCCCTGACTGGTTGTGGATATGTACAGGGGCGCAGGTTCAATCCCCAGCCCCATTCTGAAGCAACCAAATGATGTGTTGATGTGTCTCTCTCACATTGATTTCTCTCTCTCTCTCTCTCTCTCTCTCTCTCTCTCTCTCTCTCTCTCTCTCTCTCTCTCTCTGTCTCTCTCTCTCTCATTCTCTCTCTCTCCCCCCACTCTTGCCTTCCATGCTCCACTCTCTCTAAAAAATCAATGGAAAATATCCTGGGAAGAGGATTAACAAGACAAAACAAAAAGAGAAAGAGAAGGATATGAAACCACCAGGAAACTGCGATGCTGAAAGGGAGGGAGGGGAGATAAAACCGTGAGGAAAAAATTGATGGAGCGGGGCCTGGAAGAACAAATGCCAGGTCAGAGAGGAGACTAACATGTAAGGCTTCACAGGTGAAGCAATTGCTGACAATAACCAAGTCCGGTGTGCAGACGCAGTGCATGTGCAGTATTCAGACACACAGAAAGTGCAGGATCAGCTAAAACCGGTTTGGCTCAGTGGTAGAGCATCGGTCTGCGGACTGAAAGGTCCAGGGTTTGATTCCGGTCAGGGGCATGTACGTTGGCTGCGGGCACATCCCCGGGTAGGGGATGTGCAGGAGGCGGCTGGTCGATGTTTCTCTATCTCCCTCCCTTCCTCTCTGTAAAAAATCAATAAAATATATTTAAAAAAAGAAAAGAAAAGAAAGAAAGTGCAGAATCATGTCTGGAGAGGGGCAGTGATTATGACACTGTGCATAGGATATCCAAATGTCACGTGTGCTTATGATGGAGCAAGAGGCAGAAAGATGTGGGGTTCCAAAGTCAGCTCCTCCACTTGCTATGTGACCTTGGGCAAATTACTCAACCTCTCTGAGCTCCAGCTTTCTCATCTCTCATGTGGAGTTGATAACACTTCTGCAAATAATTATATAAGATTAAATTAAAAAGTTGATTACACAGCATAGTGCTTCGCTCACAACAGGCAAGCAAAAAGTCCCTGCTCTTCTGTTGCTAAAGAGCCAAATGAGCCCATGCAGACCGCAAGACACCCAGAGCTGACCCTCACCTATGATTTTATCTGAAGCATTACAAGCAAGAGCAAAGCGAGTCGTTTTGGAGTAGATTTCCATGGTTCTCCTCAAGGCTTGCTGGGCTCCATCAGTCATGCTGAGAAGAAAAATATAAGATTGCAGTTGGCAACTGTGACCTGGGCCCGCGGGACACAAATCCCTCCCTCAGAGACTGGGAACCTGACCTCCTGGCTGGGCATGCTCAGCCTCTCCCCATGTCTGGGTCTTCCACGGGCAGGCTGCACGTGGGCACAGAGCAGAGACTCTGCAGCCAGGCTGCCTAGCCCACCTTGAAGTTCTTTCATCTGCTAGTTTGGGGACCACAGGTACATTATCTGAGCCTCAGTGTCCTTACCTATAAGGAGATAATGACACTGCCTACGTCAGAGGGTTGTTGATGACAATTAAGTGAGATAATAACATGTAGAGTGCCTGGGATAATGTAAAGCTTACATATAAGTGCTTAATAAATGATGGCTATTATTGCTATAATGTTATAGTAAAATAGGTTAAGGTATAGTGAACTATGTACTATAACATGGCAATTACAATATTCCCAACAAGATTATAATAATTGTGGAGCACTTCTTTTTATATTAAAAGAAAAAAACAGGATACAAAAATTACATATTTTATGATCTCAACATGTAAAAATATATAGCGTAGAAAAAGAAAATATCATAAAACAAGATATTAATATTTTCTAAATTTTCTTCAAAAGAATATGAATTACTTTTTTTAAAATGTCATTTTTTAAAACTTTTCATTTATTCCGGAGATGGCTAACACTGTGAATGTACTAAATGTCACCGAATTATACACCAAAATGGTTAAAAATGGTAAATTTTATGTTATGTGTATTTCACCACAATAAAAAAAAAAAATTTAAATTATTCATCATGTAAGTGATGCTGGAACAAACACATTAACAAATGTTTATAAGTTAATTAAGTTGACTTTAGGGCTCAGGCTCCTATTAAATTGCTTTTGAAGATAAGCAAATATACCACAAAAGTGCAAAGGCAAGGCTTTCTCTCTAGACTTAATAAAGCCAGATAAGAGATTTAGAGATCAAGGTCAAACGTTTGGAAAGCACTCTACCTGTCCGCTTCATCCAGGATGATGATCTTGTGTCGTCCTTTGGGAAGGGTGACTTTCTGCTGGGCAAACATTTTGATTTTGTTTCTCACAACATCGATGCCCCTAGAACAACAAGCCGGAATTAACCGTCACCTTCCGAGACAAAACTAGGTACCTTCGTGGGAACTTTAACCCTCATCATCGTCACAGACCCAATTTTAGTTTTGAAGTTTCCTTTTTGAGCAAGAATTAAAATTTCATTACTTTTATTCCTTTTTGGAGGTTTTCAGAACAAAGAAAAAATTTACTGCTTAAAATATAATGAGATTCATTTTATCTTGCAATTACCATATGGGTTCACTGAATTATTTTACAATCTCAGATTTATTTTAAAGTCTTAGTGATCTTATTCTTCCTGTATCTTAAAACTGTTTGGTATTTCATCATCCTAGTAATTATTTCATGGTTACTCACCAATTATTCCCAACTATGCTAAAAATAACTAGAATAATAAGAAAATGAAAGAATGATGGAATTGCCTAAAAGAAAAATGCAATAGTGAGAGAAAAATACTATTACTATTGTCTCATACTTCATTTTTTGTGTGCTCTTGAGGTACTATATTGTCTTTCTAGAAGGTATAAAAAAGAAGTTCAGATACTCTGAACTTTTATATCTTTTTTAAAGTTTTCACTGACCCCAACTAAAAAAAAAACCATCAAAACATCATTTTCCATGCACAATGTCAAAGAGAAAAAAAATGACAGGAAGATGTTTCATAATTATTGGACAAATCAGAAAATGATTGAAAAGGAGCAAATAACACTCTGGCCTCTAATGATGGTGAAACTGATCACGTAAGCAACATCTCAGATCATGCTTCCTCAGATGCCAAAATCCTAGGTGAATTTTCTCAAACTTAAGAATCAAGGTGTGTGTTCGCTTTGGCAACACATTTGTGAAAACCGGATGACACAGAGAAGATTAGCATGGCTCCTATACAAGGATGACATACAAATTTGTGAAATGTCCCATATTTTAAAAATCAGTAAGTCATGGGGATGTGATGTACAGCATAGGGAATACAGTCAATAATACTGTACAGTGTCAGATGGTTACTAGACTTACCATGGTGATCACTCCATTAGGTGTATAAATGTTAAATAAGGACAAACACTAAATATATCTGGTTAGTCACTCAACAGGAAGGACTTCATTCCCATATCCTATGGTAAGAATTTGACCTTCTGTTTTGATAAAAAAAACACATGACAGCACTCTTTCATCTTTTATGTTTGTATACCAACATTTACAGGGTACAGTTTGTAAGTGATCAAAAGCTAACGGCAGGTTTGTATACAAAGGTGACATAGAAATGCAAAAAAGTCACTGTATTGATCATTCAAATAGGTTTTTATAAATCTAAAATTAAAAGTATTTTATAATTATGGGCTATTCTTTCTTCAACAAAATTATGAGTCACAAAGTTCTCAAAAATAATGAGTTTGATGATGCAAGTGTAAGAATCAGCATTGACAAAATGTACTGATTACAGGCTCATTCATGATAGCTGACGAGCGGTTAGTTGCATTCCAAGGACATTTGCCTGTTTCAAGTCTACATAGATCTTCAAGATTAGTACAATATTAAAGAGCTGAGACCTGCATCCCCAAGGAACAACCAAAGACAGACTTTGAAGACTTTTTATTTAACAAGTAAGTCCTCATTTCCTAATACTCTATTTTATGTCTGAAAAGTAAACCAGCACTTCATACCATTAGGATGGCTACTAACACCAACAAACCAAAAAATAAGTGTCAGTGAGGATGTGGAGGAATTGGAACCCTTGAACACTGTTGGTGGGAATGTAAAAGGGTGCAGCCACTAAGAAAAACAGCATGGAGGTTCCCCAAAAATTGAACACAGAATTACCAAATATAATCTAGCAATTCTAAACATATATCCAAAAGAATTAAAAGCAGGGTCTTAAAGAGATATTTATACACCCATATCAAAACAGCATTTTCACAATTCACAAATGTCCCAAAGATCAGAGCAACCCAAGCATCCATCAATGGATGAATGAATAAGCAAAATGTGGCGGACCTTACAAAGGGACATTATTCAGCCTTAAAAAGGAAAGACTGGCAGATGCTACAGTTTGGCTCCGTAGATGAATTGTGAGGACATAAGTTAAGTGAAATAAGCCAGCCTCAGAAAGACAAATACTGTATGAAACCACTTCTATGAGGCATCTCCAATAAAATCAAGTTCATAGATACAGAAAGGAGAATGGTGGCTACCAGGGGCAGAGGGAGGGGGATGGTACAGAGTTTTAGTTCTGGAAGACAAAAAAGTTCTGGAGACCATCGGCTACACAACAATGTGAATATATTTAACACTACTGAACTGTACACTTAAAAATGAGTAAGCTGGCCCTGACCTGGTCGCTTGCGTTGGAGAGTCACCCTGTACACCGTATGGCTGCGGATCGATTCCCATTCAGGGCATGTACCTAGGTTTAGGGTTCGATCCCCAATTAGGGCACATATGAGAGCCAACCAATCAATGTTTCTCTCTCACAGTGATTTCTTTTTTCCTCTCTCCCTTCCTTCTCTCTAAAAATCAATGAAAATATGGGGGAAGATTAAAAATAAAATCAGCAAGATGGTAAATTTTATATTGTGTATTTTACCACAATTAAAAATGATATTTAAAATTCCCACTAACAAAGTTAAGCCATCAAGTCTAGTGCCTATGACGCCACCTTGATGAGCCAGCAATTCCCATTCTATTTCACTGGGAAGGATTAAAGGAAAACATCAAGCTGGCTAGGCAAGCTCCACATACAACACAGAACGAAAAAAAGGCCTTTTCTATAACAATTCAAAATGTAAAACACTTGCTGCCCTTCAGTCCTAACTCCCAGACGTACCTGTCATTTGAGGCATTGAGTTCCAACACAGCATCCTTGAGAGCTGGGCCCAGGAGGGCTCGGGCCAAACACAGAATGCTTGTAGTTTTGCCAGTTCCTGGGGGGCCCTACAAACGAGATCGCCAGTAAGTGCTCCAAGCCAGCAAAATGACTCCTGATGGACTGTTCCCCACTTTTCACACTCACCTCCCCCTCAAACCCTCCAGCCCAACCCACAAGCCTCCTGACCAAGGAGCTCTGCGCACAAAAAAGCACTCAAGAGAGAAGCGAAAATGAGACTTCAAGACATCACCAGGGCCAGGACTAAGTACTCACAGCAATGATAATATTGGGCACATTCCCTTCTCGTGCAAAGACCTGAAAGAAGAAACGTTCGTTAAAACTGGTTAACCTGTAAACCACAAGGAGCCAAGCCTCCCAGCCAATAGTCTGCGTAGTAAACATGGCTACAAATTTCTGCATACGGATGCCCATGGAACACTCACCTCAGCATATTCTAAACTGAACTCATCATTTTCCCCTACAAACCTGAGGCCCCACCCACATTTCCCCTTCCATGGACTGTCAATGCCATCAACACTACCACCCAAGCCAGGAACCTGGAGGTCACTGTCTCCGTTAACAGAGCCATCCTCCTCACCCCACACAGCACCTTCATTACAAAGGTTCAGAAATTCCTAGTCTCCTAATTACCCCAACCCATTTCCCATACGGTAACCACAGCCAATTTTCTCAAACACACATAACATTTTTACCTGTAACCATTGGATGACTCTTTACTGCTCTCATCACGAAGCCCAAACTCTTTGCTTTCTTATTTATTTTTATTGAATTTATTGGGATGACATTGGTTTCAGGTATTCCAATCTAAAATACTTCACCTGTATACTATTCTGTGTTCATCATCCCAAGTCAAGTCTCCTTCAATCACCATTTATCCCCTATACTCCCTTCTACCTCCTCCACTCCTCCTTCCCTTCTGGCAATCACCATGCTGTCGTCCATATCTATGTTTTGTTTTTGTTTGTTTGCTTAATCCTTTCACCTTTATGATTTCATTCATATGTGGAATCTCATGGACAAAATAAATCAACAAACGAAATAGAAACAGACCCACAGACAGAGAACAGACTGACAGCTGTCAGCGAGGAGATGTGTTGTGGGGCTGGGAGAAAAAAGATGAAGGGCGCTGGGGATTTTCCAATGTAAATTAAGGCGTGTCTAGGCTGGCTTCATAACGCCCAAACTTTCAAACATGGCTCATGAGGCCCTGCCCAATCTGCATCCTGCCCACCTCACGGGCTCATTTCTCACACACCCCAATACAGGTCTCTACAGCCTTGCTCTCAGGGGCTCATGGACCAGAAGCATCAGCATCCCCTGGGAGCGTGTTAGAAATGCACAATCTGGCCTCAAATCCAGAACTACTGCACCAGAATCTGCATTTTAACAAAACCCCCAGGCAATTCAAATGCCTATTAATGTCTGGAAAGTACTACTCCAATCAGATGGCATCCCACCCAAGATCAAAACAAGCTTTCTCACTTGGGGGCCTTTGCACCTGCTATTCCTGCTTCTCTCTCACTCCTCCCCTCCAAGCTGGCTAACTCTCACTCAAGCTTTGGTATCACTTCTTCCACTTGGGAATAAAGATATTGTGAGGGTTAACACTTCCCATGTGCTCCCACAGCACCCTGTCCCCCTCTAGCAGAGTGCTTATCACGTCGCCTGCTGACTTTAATGTTACCCTATTAGACTAAAAATCTTATTCGGGCAGGAATCATATCTATTTATATCAATAGTTCCTAACACTGCACCACAGCTGTCCCAGAAAACATACTCAAATATTTGTAAAATGAATGCATTTTGTAAAAAAAAATACCTTGTTAGCTAGTATAGTGTAAGCACTGATTACTACAGAGATTGTCTTTGTCATGACTCACATAGTTGGGCTTCTTCTAGATTCTGCCTAAAGATGGCTTGGAATTCAAAGCTTGCTTTACTGCTAAACATTTCTGCCTGCCCATTTTGAAGCCAGCTGCCTTGTCACTTAGTCCCTCTAGGCAGAGGTTGGCAAACTATGGTGGGAAGAACATGAAGGGAGTGGAGGTAATCTAGCCTGAGACCTGTTTTTATGATACCCCTGGCTACAAATGGCTTTCACATTTTTAAAGGATTGTTGAAAAAATAGAGTATTTGTCCAATACAGTTATACTAGTGGCCCGGTGCAGGAATTTATGCACATTGATAGGAAATTAATTAGAAGAAATATTTTAATATCACTATCTGCCCTTTTTCTATAATAGAAGTGTCAACCAAATTCACTATCGATAATGACAGATCAAAACAGACACATGAAATTGGCGCCAGTGAGATATATATATAAACTTGCTTAATTAGACTTGCTTTCTGATTTAGCTAAACTTTTTCCAGCACAGTGAAGCACCCCAACTTCTCTTTTGGGTAATTGTCAGCAATACAGCAGTAAATATCAACACGAAGCACATTATTATTGTAGATCACACAGGGAGAATAAAGGGTAAATATTTAACTGCAGCAGTGTTTGACTATATTCTGCGCAGTGAGAAAACCTGAAGTCATTTACAAGGTCCACCATTTCTTACTTCTTTTCAGTCATCATTTCTAAGCTTTCTAAATCTCCATTTTCTGGCTAATGAAAAGAAAATAGGATTCCACCGAGTCTCCTATCTACCTACTCCAGAACTTCTATAAGGATCAAATGAGATGAGGCACTGAAAAATGCTTCACAGACATTTGGTTAAAGTATAAACTGTGTGCAACTGGCTATAAAGCAAGTAGTGTTCCTGGGCTGAAGAAACTCCAAGGAGGGTAGTCACTAGGAAGAGGAAGCCAGGCATTGCTACGTGATGTCATTACCTGGCGCCCACAGCAACCATTTCCGGGCTGGGCTGTGAACTGCATTTTGTGCTATAGGGTCTCGACAGCGTTGGCTGCGATTTGGTGGGCTGTCGCTCTAGGGTGGTAGCAGGGCCTGTGTCCCACTTGTTGTTAAGTCATCAGTCATCTTATCAAAGTCAAGTGTTGCTTTGTGGGCGCCAGGTCCATGGTGCCATTTCTCTGTAAATGGCCAGTGTGCGTCACAGCAGCTCCTGAGTTGAGCATCTGCCCCTGGTGGTCAGTGCATGTCATAGCAACCGGTTGGACAGTCGGAGACGTAGCATATTAGCCTTTTATATATATAGATATTTGCAAAAAGCCTATGGTATCTATTAAATTGCCTTTACAGAAAGTTTGCCAACCTTGCTCTTGTCCGATAACTCCTCTCCAATAAGCCAGCCCTTCAAACATCTGAAATTACCCACCACTTCTAGGCATCTCCAAATAGAATGTTTCCTATTCCCTCAACTCTTCTGGATCCTGGCTTGCCCCCATTCCCCACCATGGCTGTCTTGCTCCAAATGTAGTGAGCTTTATCAAGGCACAATAATGTGGTATAAGTATATATATATATATATATATATACACACACACACACACACACACACACACCCACCTCCAGCCTGCTCACAGTATCTTCATTCCCGACTACTTCATTCAACTTCACTGGTCTGTATTTCTCAACCCTGTATTAAAGAAAATGCATAAAAAGATGTTGACATAACTATTTTCATGTTACACAAAAGGAAGCAATAAAGAGCAGCAATGCTCAGCTCTGTAAGGTGATATACATTATATATATATATATATATATATATATAAATGGTGGCAGGTTTTAAATTTAAGGGGGTGCCCAAGTGCCCTTTGAAAAGTTAAGTGCGTGAGAATCACACACCGGAAGCTCCAAACCCACCACAACAAAGAAATAGCTGTTGTTGCTGGAGAAGGGCCAGAGTGGGCCATCTGGACCAATGTGACACTGTCAGCAACAGTCTGCCCGTCACAACAGAGATCCAGCACGCAGCACTGACATTTTTTTTTCTTTTTAAAAAATGCTTCATGAATTTGTGTGTCATCCTTGCGCATGGGCCATGCTAATCTTCTCTGTATCGTTCCAATTTTTAGTATGTGTGCTGCCGAAGTGAGCACAGCACTGACATCATCTGACCTGGCAGTTATGGATGTAACCAGGCCTCCTCATGCTTTACCTGCCAATTTCTGCAGACTTGGCAAGGCGGGCACAGCAGGGCTGGCTAGACAGAAACCACAGGCCTATCTTGCGACCCTATTAGGCTAGTGGCCTAATCAGACCAATACTTCTCTCTTAATTTTTATCTTTTTAAAAATATATATGTTTTATTGATTTTTTATAAAGAGGAAGAGAGAGAGATAGAGTTAGAAACATCGATGAATTGGGTATGGCCCACAATTAAGTGCCATGTTTTTTACCAGAATCGAACCAGGGACCCTTGAGTCTGCAGGCAGACACTCTATCCACTGAGCCAAACCAGTTAGGGCTTCTCTCTTGATTTTTAGAGAGGAAGGGAAAGGGATAGAGAGATAGAAACATAGACAAGAAACATCATTGATTGGCTGCCTCCTGCATGCCCTTCCCTACTCCCATCTCCTTCCTCGGGGATTGAGCCTGTAAACTGGATATATACCCTGACTGGGAATTGAACCAGTGATCTCTTGGCTCATGGGTCAACACTCAATCACTAAGCCACACTGGCTGGACAATGCTTCTCTTTTAAATGAATCAGCAAGCTACGCTAGAGAGAAAACTTTCTTCAGCGAGAATAGAAGTGGAAGATATACATGATTTAACAATCAGGCCTTCCTCAGTCCTTTACAACACTCTCCCTGATTTATTATGCAGGTGCTAGCTGTGCTCCGGAAACAGCTGCATTCAAGAAGCCTGTTTGTCACACGCTATGGTAAACAGACAGATCCCCTCAAAGACCAGCAGAGGAAGCATGCTTTTTCCTATTCAGTTATTCTTCATCCTCAGTCCCTTCCAGGTGCCAAGCGCTGTGAAAGGAGATAGAGATCTCAAAGGGGGGAAAGCAGAAGATACAGAGATAAGCAAGAGATGGTGATTGCTCTGAAGGGCTTTCCAAATGGCAGTGAGGTAAGAGCTTAGCAAGTCCCACTACAGTGCTAAACTTGTTATAACAGTGGTCACAAACCACAGCAATCAAGCCACATGCCTCAATCAGATTGAGGACGCTTTTAGCAAAGGCCAGCTTAGGAGTACCCTACTTAAGTTATTAACAATGTACCTACTTATATTGTTTAAGTTTAAAAAATGTGGCTCTCAAAAGGAATCTCAATCGTTGTACTGTTGATATTTGGCTCCGTTGTCTAATGAGTTTGCCAACCACTGTGTTAATAGAAACCAAGGGCTGTGGACGCTGAGGAGGGAATCACCACCTGGGAATGTTAGGAGCTGAAATTTGTGTTGGACTTTGAACAAAGAAAAGATGCTCTTCTTGTCCTGATCGGTTTGGCTCAGTGGATAGAGCGTCGGACTACAGACCGAAGCGTCCCAGGTTGGATTCTCCTCAAAGGCATGTACCTTGGTTGCGGGCACATCCCCAGTAGGGGAGGTGCAGGAGGCAGCTGATCGATGTTTCTCTCATCGATGTTTCTAGCTCTATATCCCTCTCCCTTCCTCTCTGTAAAAAGAAAAAAAAAAAAGATGCTCTTCTTTTCAAGGCCTTCATAGCTGCTCCATCTACCTGAGAGATTTCTCCAGCCACATGCCTTACTCCCTGAGTTCAGGTCTTTGCTCAAATCATCAAAGTCATCTCACCAAAGGCCTTCTCTGAACACCACTGCTATTTATTTACTCCACAGCACTTGCTTTTTTACTTTCTTTTTCTATCAAATGTAAGCTCTCATTTAAAAAAAAATATATATATATCACATACTACAGTAAAGTTTAAAATTACCCATGTGGCTGGCATTATATATATATATATATATATATATATATATATATATATATATATATATATATACACACACATATATCCAGCCACATGGGTAATTTTAAACTTTCTGGTAGCCACATTATGAAAGGTAAAAGAAAACAGATGAAGTTAATTTTACTAATATTATTCATTGAACCTAATATATTAAAAAAAATATTGTCACTCTCAACACGTAGCAACATAAAAATTACTAATGAGTTTCTCTTAATACTAAGTTCTCAAAAGCCAGATGTATATTGTACACTTACAGACCATCTCAGTTCTGACTAGCCTCATTCCCAGAGCTCAACAGACTTGTGGCTAGTGGCTGGGGGGCTGCACAACACAGCTGTAGATATTCCAATAAATTATACTGCATTCCATTTGCGTATCTGCTCTCATCAAGAAGAGGGGTGGGCCTGGCCAGAGGGTCTCAGTTGGTTGATCGTCTTCCCAGTGCACAGGAAAGGTTGACGCGGTCCATCGAATTGGAAGGCAACCAATCAACCAATCAACCCACCGATGTTTCTCTCTCCCTTCCTTTCCCAGTGGTTCTCAACCTTCCTAATGCCCTGACCCTTTAATACAGTTCCTCAAGTTGTGGTGACCCCCAACCATAAAATTATTTTCGTTGCTACTTCATAACTGTAATTTTGCTACTGTTATGAATCGTAATGTAAATATCTGTGTTTTCCGATGGTCTTAGTAAGCAATGTTCTGACCAACACTGAGTTTCCAGGGTTCAGACCGGCCATCCTCCATCCCGGGTGGGATAAGCGACCTGTGTCCCTCCCCCTCTCCAAATAATCTCCTGGACACCACCCTGGAGCCTCCAGCTCCGCTCAGGTCTTCCCGCCCCCCACGATCTCCCACCCCTGGGTCCCCCCGGACAAGACCCGCCTTTCGCCCACCTACGCTCCCAGAGCACCCATCATTTATGGCCTGGACCCTCACCACGGCAGCTCGTAGTGGCCGGCACTACCGGGGGCCTTGCTGGAGGCAGGGGCAGGGTCCTGGGCCCCGGGATCGGCCGCCCCACTGCAGCTCTCCTCCACCTCCATTCTCCCGCCGCCGCTTCCCGCCGCCCGAGGCCCCGCCCCATGACGCCATCACGCAGGCCCCGCCCCTGGGAACGCGAGGGACGCCGGGCGCGAGCGGAAGCTGTCTGACGGCCTCTTTCCGCGCCTGCGCAGATGGCACCTCCCGGAGTCCGGTTGCGCAAGGCCGCGGTTGCTCGGGGAGACCTGGCGTCCGGCCGGGGAGAGAGAGGAAAGCGAGACCTGAGCGCCTTGCCTTCCGAGAAAGCAGGTCGCTCCCGGAAGGGACGTTCAGCGGTTTTCGTCTTCGCGTGACTTGTGTGAAAATACGTCTTCTCTCCGCGCGACCAGTAGAACAGCTTCGCCAGGTGGGGAAGGAGCGTGCAGCCCGTGCAGAGAGCAGGGGCCCGTGGAGAGTCCCTCCAAATGCAGGACCCACCGGGACTGACGTCCAGTGGTGCTGGGAGGCAGAAAGCCGATGTCTGCATCCCGCCGACACCCACTTTTCCCGATTGCTCAGGATGCTCCCATTGGGTGGGCTCCTCTGTGCGCCCTGGAACTTGACATTTATTAATGCTGTGGGTGGGAATTACTTTCATTTCGCAGATGAGGCAGCTGTGTCCCTCTGTAAGATGTGACTCAGTTTCACTTCAGAGAAATAGGTACTTCTTAGTCACAACTGATTTGAGCATTCTTTTAGTTTGATTTTCTACCTATTTTACTCATCTTTCTTCCCATAGTTCGTGTTATAATAATAATGAATAAGAAATAAAGATATGAATAATAATTATCATTTACTATGACTTGAAATCCCTTGGTGGTAGATTAAGGAGATAGGAGAAAGCAAAGCGGAGAAACCTGTCGGATTGGTTAAAAAGGGAAAATAAAGAAACATACTTCTTTCCATTGGTGGCTAGTTAATCTTTAACATTTACAGCACATAGAGGAAGTATTGGGGCAATGAGATAACAAGGGTTCTGTGGTCTCCTGCACTGAGGCCAGCAGTGCCCTGAGGGTCTGGAAAAGAAGATTACTCTGGCATTTTAAATGTTATCCTAGACGCAAAAAGACGGTCGACAGGCTCACTTAAAGACTGATCTTTATCAAGGAAGCTACAAGCCCTGGCTGTGACTAACCACCTTGACCCACACCCACCACCCACGTTAGTTAGGAATTTATGTTGGTAAGGCCTGCCATGACTTGTCAGGTTTAGTATAAGGCTCTTTTTTGTCCACAATATGTAACATGTAGACTTTTTGCCTTCTAGGTGGTTGAGCAATCATTCAAATAAATAGGGTCTCCAGAATCTATATTGTAGGTGATAGTTTTTCTAATTTTTTAAAATTATTTTTTAAATTCTCACCCCAGGGTATGTTCATTGGTTATAGAGAGGGAGGAAGGGAGAGAGAAAGAGAGGGAAAAACTCCGATGCAAGAGAGAAACTTGAGCCAGTTGCCTCCCCTACACACCCAGACCAGGACCGAACCCACAACAACCCTTCGGTGTATAGAACCACGCTCCAGCTGAGCCACACTGGCCAGAGCAATTGTTTTTCTATTTTTATCCTTAACATTTTTGTTTTCCTTATTCCTCCCATCCCCCAAAGCCCTGTCCATTGTGGAAATTTATTGGGGAAGACAATATTGCTGTTATATTTATTTTTCATCTGTAAATTCTGTGCTCCATCTCTCCAAACATTTTATTTTTGAGGATATAGTACCTACCCCTACTAGTTTATTCCCTTGTATGCTGTAGGGTAGTGGGCCTGGAGCTGATGTCTGCCGATGGCTCCTTCCAGTTACACAGCCAGGCCAGCAAGGTCCCAGCAGCAGGCACAATTCACAATTGTGTTCTGAGATGGGACCAGAGCATGTGCTTCCTCGTTCTTTTCAAGTTATTGCCAATTGGCAGGAACCTCAAATTCTGAAGCAGTTTATTTTCATGAAGGTAGTTATTAAAGTTTCCAGGTTCTTTTTCCTTATATGTGATTTGGAAAAAATTCTTGTTGAAGTTAGCTATCTCTTGTTCCTCTTTAAACTGATGGAACATCTTACATATTTTTAAAAAACATTTTTTATTGATTTTAGAGGGGGAGAGGGAGAGAGAGACACATTAATGATGATAATCATTGATTGGCTGCCTCCTGCACACACACCCCTCCCCGTCAATGGGGATCTAGCCCCCAACCCCAGCATGTGCCCCAACCAGAAATTGAACTCTGTCTTCCTAGTGCATGGGCCAATGTTCATTCAAGCACTGAACCACACCAGCCAGACCATCTTGTATATTTGTAAAACCACTATTCACAGGTCCTTTATTTCTCTGAAAGAGAAAATACAAATTGCTATTGAAATAAACTTTTCTTAAAATGTTTCTTTGTATTTTTCTCTTGAGATTGTTCCCATTTGGTAATAATATTCATATTTTCCTTATAATCAGTTGACACACACACACACTTCCCATCACAGACACTGGGTGTTTGTGATTAGAAACTAAACATATTCTTTTAAAAAAATATTTTTTATTGATTTTTTTACGGAGAGGAAGGGAGATGGAGAGTTAGAAAAATTGATGAGAGATAAACATCAATCAGCTGCCTCCTGCACACCCCTACTGGGCATGTGCCCGCAACCAAGGTATGTGCCCTTGACCGGACTCAAACCTGGGACCCTTGAGTCTGCAGGCTGACGCTCTGTCCACTGAGCCAAACTGGTTAGAGCAAAAACTATACATGCTCAATAAATATAGAAAACTTCACAATTCTTTTCCCCTTTAAAATGATTTTCTTTTTCTTTTTTTAAGGAATATCATATATATATATATATATATATATACACACACACACACACACACACACACACATTTTATTGAATTTTTACAGAGAGGAAGAGAGAGAGAGAGCTAGAAACGTTGATGAGAGAGAAACATCGACCAGCTGCCTCTTATACACCCCCTACCGGGGATGTGCCCGCAACCAAGGTTCATGCCCTTGACCAGAATCGAACCTGGGACCTTTCAGTCCGCAGACCGACGCTCTACCACTGAGCCAAACTGGTTTCGGCTAAAGTTCTTTTCTACAAATCCCTCTCTACAAGAGGCCTGTTGGCGTGCTGCTTTCAGTGATGTGCTTGGAATACCAGGAGGATGGGAGAAGGAGGTGACCTTTGGTGCAGAACTGCACTATCAGGACATTTTTCTCTTCCCTATACCGAGCCTTCTGTGACTTGTTGGACTTAGGCCCAGACAGAGCTAAGAGCTTCAGTACTCCAGCCTCCTGCAGGCCACACAGCACTCCCTAAGGCCACACAGCGCCCCCTAGGGCCACACAGCGCCCCCTAGGGCCACACAGCGCCCTCTAGGGCCACACAGCAGCCAAAGAGTGTTGGGGAATCCACAGGCTCTTGTGAAAGAGCTAATATGAGCCTAAGTGAATTCCTACTCTTACCACCAAAGATCTGTGGAATCCCAGGATATTGAATTCACCACCAGGCTAAATTTCCAGATTATTTTCTCACAAAAGGGCAATTCGTTATACAAAAGAGGAAAGGGGATAAAATAGAAAACAAAAATCCTTACCTAAAGCCAGAGCCTTCCAGTGAAATGATCACATGAGACAGGCAATAAATCTTGGTTAAAATGACACCTTCTCCTGGCTGGTGCTACTAAGTGGTTAGACTGTTGACCCCCAGGCGGAAGGGTTGTGGGTTTCATTCCTGGGCAAGGGCACGTACCTGGGTTGCAGGTTTGATCCCCAGCCCCAGCCAGGACACATGCGAGAGGCAACCGATGGATGTGTCACCCTCACATCAATGTTTCTCTCTCTCTCTCTCTCTCTCTTCTTTCATCCTCTCTAAAAACCAATGGAAAAAAATATCCTCGGGTGTGGATTAGCAACAACAACAAAACGACACCTCGACTTACCAGTAGATGATAGCCCACTTCCCCTGCTGCTGGATGGGGTTGAAAAGCTGGATACGCCTACTTCCACCCACCCATTGGCCCAGAATGTTGAGCCTGCTTGATGCTGTTTGCCTTGTTTACATTGAATTCTTAAAAATTCGCTTGTGTTCCAGTGGATTTCTTTATTAATTTTAGCTTTTTTCAAAGGTGATACTGTTACTGAAATAATGGTTTTCTCTCAGACAGTGCAGTGTTCCATCACCGTGAGAATTTTTGACATTCCAATTTCCTTATCTAATATATTTTTATTGATTTCAGAGAAGAAGGGAGAAGGAGAGATAGAAACATCAGTGATGAGAGAGAATCATTGATCGGCTGCCTCCTGCAGGGCCCCTACTGGGGATCGAGTCCACAACCCTGAAATGTGCCCTTGACCAGAATCAAACCTGGGACCCTTCACTCCACAGGCCAATGCTCTATCCACCGAACAAAACCAGCTAGGGTTGTTTTATGATCTTTTAATCTCCAAATTTTAAATTATAAAACATATTAAAAATAATGTCAACAGTCATGTGCTCACAGTCAAGACAGCTGTTAAATTTTGCTTCCTTTTATAAACAAACAAACACTATGTTTTTTTCTTTTCACCTTTTCACTCCCACTTCACAGAAGAGGAGACTGAGGCACAAAGAGGTCAAGCTGTGGCCTCAGGGTGTCTTGGTGAGCAGGAAGTAGACTCTGCATCTAGACGAGGCGGTCTGAGCCCAGGACCTATATGTTTTATGTACTTTTGTACTTTGATGGGACATACATTATTTGTTAACATGATGTACTATTGTTTGGTGGGTTTCAATAATTTCCATAAATTGAATCCTTCTATGAATAACTTCTAATTTATTTTTAGCCACTTAGCATGATGTTTTTGAGTTATTTATATTGGTCTGTTTCATCTTATAGAATGTAAGATTATCTCTTTTGTAGAGTGAACTTGAAACCTTGAGGAAGAATGAGGTTTTTCAAATGTGTGACTTTCACAAGGCAAAACAAATTTTTAAAGTAACTTTCCAATAAACGTCTCAGAGCACAGGGTGGGTGTTGCTATTTGTGTCCTGAAAGGTTATGCT